TAAGTTCTCTAATGCAAATCCTTACTTCCTTTGTGATTTTAAAAGTGCCAGTGCATCTGTAAGTATATTTCAAGTGCTACTAATGCTTTTTATATACTTTCACAATAAATTGCTCGGTTACATAAGTATACTTGATAGACCCTGCCCTGCTCAGTGCAGACTGGCTGCTTGTAACCTTGTGGCCCATTACATTGGGAAGCAGACCTTCATTTCCAGTTGCACTGGAAATGTCTTATTTTAAGGATCATGACGTTGCATGTTTCTATTTTTAAGATACTTTGGCAAAGGGGATGAGCGATCAGGTGCACTTCTTGATGCTGAAGTAGCATTAGACAGTGGGCAAGATCCTTCCTTAAAGTTCTGCAGTGTGGGGGGGATTGATTCAGAAAAGGGGGGTTAAGTGAGGAGAATTTATACAAAGGCAAAACCGTGACTGCTTTAATGGACTCAAGCATTAAAGAGTTGCTGCTTACCTTCCTCAAAATACTGCATTTGCATTACAGTATGACCCATCCCAACCAGTCCATCTGACGCACACAAGGTGCAGATCAGCTGGTTAAGGAAACTTTATTGCTTGACTGAACACTTCCCAGCATTCCCCTATGTAGTTAGCACTTTTGTTTTTGGACAGTGTGGACATGGCACATAATAAATCTTCAATTGAAGCTCAATGAAGGATTTGAGGATTGAATGATCTCAGTTTTTTTATATAGTGGTACCATGTTACACATGATGTAAAAAGGTTGTGAACAAATCAAATTAAAGTATAATGCTGTCTACTTTGTCATCTGTTCAAACATGTATGCATATCTCATCTAGTACTGTAGTTCTCAGTTGTTTTCTGTAGGTTTTTCTACTCCCAGCATCGCGAGTGGGTCATAATCAGAGTTGTCAGCGTTGTTGCCCTCGTCGGTTTATGGCTACCCCTCGCAAGGCCTGCTTCAAACAGTCCTCTGCATCCAAACCAGAGAGCTCTACAGTCAAAGGTGTCATCATACCCTGGACAGGAAACGGGTTTCCTTGGCAGTCTGGAAAGATTTGCTGTAGAGCGAGTTGTTTTTCTCAAGTAAAGTTGAAACCATAAGCATTTTAACAACTGGAGCAAGATCTGAATGTAGAAGGAGAGGCA